GGTAGGTAGGTAGGTAGGTAGGTAGGTAGGTAGGTAGGTAGGTAGGTATGTATTTATTTATTTATTTATTTAGTGTCACAACCCCTGGTACCCTGGTATGGCCAAATATGGGAGGAAGCCTACTACTTCCTATCTCTGTCTATCGGCTTCTCACAAGAGACCATCCAGACAGAAACCCAATATTTTTACTGTTTCCTTTGATACATTTGTGTTGTATTTGTGCTGATAGTCTCCCTTTATTTATTTATTTATATTTATTTTATACATACATACATACATACATACATACATATATATGATACAATCCACATGAACATTCTTTCTTTTTAACAGCATCAAGTACACAGCCCATCTGATGGTCAACATTCTTGTTGTGGTTCCTGCATAAATATCTCATGTCCTTTTTATACTGACAATGGAACTCTTGAGATTTATGAAGTAAGTGAGTTGAAAAATGGTTCAGAGAACAATAATGAATAAGGATTCTAATTAAGTCATGTACTAAATTCTACAATTTTCTCATATGATTCCTCTTGATTCAAACTTTTCTTGATTGGCGATCATAATTACACACTGAATATGATTAGTTAAATGAGCTAAGTATATAACGACATCAGGAATACAGGTATTAGCTTGATATTTGTAAATGAATTCTGTTGAAGTTTGATTTACATATGAGCAGACATTTAACCAAAGTTACCTGCATCTGTCTGTCATCCATAGTCAATCAGACTTTCTGTTTAGCACAGCAAACTAAATTACATGTGAGTTCTCTTTCTGGTGTTAAGCAATATAGGACTGTTGTTTTCTACTGAAGTTGCCCTTCTATGCTTCCTATGAAAAACAGATTATCATTACTCCTTTTTTATTCTTCCGTTCAATCTTGATTGATGCTTGGATACTTGCTGGCAAGTCCCTGCAGTTTTCTTGACAAGAATTTTTAGAAGTGGTTTGCCATTGTCTCTTTCCTAGGGCTGAGAGAAAGTGATCCGCCCAAAGTTACCCAGCTGGCTTTAGGCCTAAGGCAGGATTGAACTCACGATCACCTGGTTTCTAGCCTGGTAGATAGTCACTACACCAAACTGGCTTCTACTACTGCATTAACCCATTGTTATGATGTTCTCAGAAAACACTGATTGTTCAACAGAATATAGTATTCATTAAACTAAAATTACAGTACTATCCAGCTGTGATCAACTGCAGCATACCTAAGGCCATTAAGAATTGGAAAGTTGTCTTAATATATGATTCAATCATTATTTTTGCTACATTGTAGCCAGTTTTCCATTTCCTTCCTTTTCCCCACTCCATCTCTTTCTTTTAATAGGAAGGAAGCACATGGGACTCAAACTGCACTAAATATGAATGTGCAAAGATTGGTGTGGAGACAGTGGTGCTTGGCTCCAGTGTGTTTTGCCCACCCTTTAATGAGACTGAATGTGTAAAGGTTTGTACTTTATACATCAAAATATTCCTTATTCATGTATGTTTAATTTATTGGGGACTTAATACCAAGGTTTCTTTAATATTTTAAAAATATAAAAAACTGCTTTTACTGTCTTAATTTTTCCCTCTAATATATATTACAAGGATTAAGCTTGATTCTGTTTTCCTTTATTTATAATCATTTTAGAACATATACTGTCTAGTCTTTGATTCTGACATATATTTCCCCAAACATCTACACAAAATTAAAATGCAAATCTAATCCACCAAATCAAAATCAATAAATATTTCATACAAAACTGATCAAAAATGACCTTATAGTCAATTGATTCAATTTTTGTATTGTTTTGATTTGTTCTGATTTACTGAAAAAGTGCTGCCAATTCTTCTTGAAAAGTAAATGTGTAGTGGAGTAGAATCACCTCAAGCCTATGTTACATAGTTTTAATCAGAGGTGGGTTGCTCCCCGTTTGGCCTGGATCGGGCAAACCAGTAGTGGCGTTGGCAGGAGTTTCCGTCTACCTGCCTGGATGCTCTGCGCATGCACAGAAGCGTTGTGTGCATCCGTGAGTGAACTGGTAGTGCCGGGATTTGCAACCCATCTCTGGTTTTAATGAGTTCTAAATAAATGTGTGGAGGCAGTACAGGTAGCCCTTGACATACAATTAAGCTCAAAATTTGTGTTGTTGAGGGAGACATTTGTTAAGTAAATTTTGCCCCATTTCTTGCACCTTTCTTGCTTCCGTTGTTAAATCAATCATTGCACTTGGTAAGTTCATAACCTGGTTGTTAAGTGAATCTAACTTCCCCATTGATTTTGCTTGTCAGTAGGTCATGAAAGGTATTCCTTGGGGCACAGCAAAATTCATAAATATGAACCAATTGCCAAGTATCTGAATTTTGATCACATGCTGAGGGGGATTCTGGAAAGATCTGGAAAGATCTTAACTGTGAAAAATGTTCATAAGTCACTTTTTCCAGTGCCACTGTAACTTTGAACAGACACTGAATGAACTGTTGTAAATTGAGGACCATTGTATCTGAGAGACTTCAAATTAGGTTGTTATGTATAATGGCAGCCATTATTTTTTTTACTTTTTTTCCAGGATCTTTGGCTGCATAACTACTTTTCAATATATAAGGAGACAATGACATTTATAAAGTTTTCCTTCCATTTTAAATGAAAGGACAATCCACTATGAATCTTTCAGTTCTTTTAAGATATACTTCTGGAATGGGAAACTTCCACAGGAATTGCAGAGTTCTAATTGTATGCTATTTTTTTCAGCCTGGTGTTAAGAAAACTGTCTTGTGCAGCATTTTTCTTCTTAACACGTGGCTAAAAAAGTAGCGTAGAGCTAGAACTCTGCAATTCCTGTGAAGGTCTCCCGTTCACAAATTATATCTTAAAAGAACTAAAAGATTCACAGTGGATTGTTCCTTCCTGTAAAATGTTCCCTTAATTAAAATAGTTAAATATTTGTAGATTGGATTAGATATCTGGCCTTTTCTTTTTGTTTATATGTATTGCAGTATTCATATGCCTCAATACATTTCTTTGAGCACAGTCTTTTTTGAAATATTCCTTTTTAATCTTCCTAGAATGGAGGCTCTGTGCAAACCTACCACAATGGCTGCTGCAAGACCTGTAAGTGAATACAGCTGTATTGTGTGCTAGTTGTTGGTATGGCTTTGGGTTTGGACAGCTGTGTGCATTCTTAACCTCTTTAAGGAGACATATGAAAAGAAAACAGCATGCTGACTCTGAATCATGTCATATGTGTCCAGTCCTTAACAAAAGTAATTTGCAAGCCTGGCTTTATATGGCTGCTAACATGGTGATATTAAAATTAAAATTTGTGTTTTAACCTTTTCTTTTTGGTATATAACCAGTTTCCCCCAAATAATATAGATATAGCTAAAAACTGTTTTGAATACCTTTAGAAAACAAGATTATCCAATTTATTAATAGGATTTTTCTCTAGTTTGTTAATTATAAGATTAACAAAGATTATAAGAAAATGGGAAAATATGAATATTTTATTTAGGTCAATGTGAAAAAAAAATTCAAATGATAGTGGTTACTGACCTATGTTCTATGGAAATATGTTAAGTACAACCATAAGGTTACATGAGGAAATTATATAAAATATAAAAAGGGATAATTGCACTTTTGAGACATTACATAAAAACATTAAATGTGAAAATATATTAATATTTTTTTAATACTGTAGTTTCAGTAACTTCAGTGTAAAACATATTGGCCAGCTCTAAAAGATCTTAAACTTTCTTATTCAGGATAGTGACAAATATTCCACTCCAAAATATATATATCAAGGTTTATTTTCTGATAATCTTACTTCTCAAAGTCTCAGTTTAAATAAGAACTTAAATGTAAGTATGATTACTTTTCAAAATGGTGGAATTTGGATATTTTATTAGAGATAGTAAAAATCCATCCAACCCAGGATGGTTCTTTGGATTCCAGCTAAAGCTGGAATTTTCTATTTGAACTAGAATGAACATTCTGTAATGAGTTTCTTTTATTCATAATACAAATATTGACAGCAAAACAGTTTCCTTCTCCCAGCCTTACTTGAAAATCCAACAAAGAAACCAGGATCAAATGCACCTGAATAAGAAGCACCAAAGGGGGAAAAAAAGACAGATGCATTTTGATAATTGCTAGTATTCTCAAAAAAAATTTTCTCAAGCAAGTCTACTTTGCATCTTTTACTTTTATTCTTTGGGAAATCCTTCATGTTGCAGCTCAACAAATTAGGGTGTGATCTTCTCAATCAGTATCTGATACCTTCTAATATCTTCTAGAATATCTATCTCTGGATTTAAAAAGGCTGTACAAAGAGACTCCGTTTTCCATAAATTCATATCCACATACTACAGATCTTACCCAACATCTAAAGCAGTGTTTTTCAACTTTAGCAACTTTAAGATGTGTGGATTTCAACTCCCAGAATTCCCCAACCAGCCATACTGACTAGGGAACTCTGGGAGTGGAAATCCATATATCTTAATTGCTAAGGTGAAGAAACACTGCTTTAGATGTTCAATAAGATCTATAGTATGTTGTCAAACTCACTGCTACTGTAGTATTGTTTTTACAAGTAGTGATTTTTCTTCTAGTATTTATTTACAATAGATGCCCATAAAATAATAGTTATTTCTTAGATCTCCTGCCTTCTGTTCAGAAGTTGATGGCAGTGTGTCTAACACCTCTTTTCTCTCCATTTTCATACAATATCCCAGACAGAAATTTATCCAGCATACAAGAAAGGACAGGAAACTGGTCTCCTGGGTGCCAGTCTAACACTTTAATTACCGTACCACACTGGTCTGATGAAACAATTGTAGATAAAAATAGTTCACCAAGGAAATATCTTACCACCAGCAATTCCTTTATTATCTTTCATATTTTGTTAAATGTTGTCTTGCACTCTGCATTGCCATTAAATGGTACTGGCCAGTGGTATAGTGTCAGGGAGAAGAAGAAATCTGCAAACACTGTGTGTCTCTCCAATTTTCCAGAAGAATGCTTCCTGATCAGATTTCTACTCAGAATATTCTGGAACCTACAATACACATACATATATTTTCTTAATAATTTCAAAGTATCTCTTAATTCACATCATGACTTAAATATAGAAATTCCTTTACCTCAAAAAAGTTACTTTTGTGAGTAGTAAAATGACAAAGAAATTTTTGGCAATTATGTCACTAAATTGACATATTGATATTAATAAATTGATATTCAAAGATTAATAACATCTCATAAATACCATAAATTTCTCTCTCCCCATCAATATTTTATATAAATGAAGTAAAACATGTAAAATCCATCTATTAATGGGTATAAGAACTTTTCTTTACTGTTCTCTAAAACAATGTTTAACCCCAAAAATAATGGCTTTAGTAGTTATATTCAGAACTGTTTGCTGAACTAGCTTTTAAAAAATCAATATTAAATGCTGTTTTATATACTAATAGAGGTTTTTTAGAACAAACTAAAAGCATGTGCTTTTAATGGTTAAGGAGTATCTGAGCTACAAGTACAGCTTAAAATCCCTTGGGTTTTAATGGTAATGAATAATCTTTATTTGAAAAGATGAATGATTATATGCATGCTGAGTGAGTTCAAATGTTTAATTCTTACCTTGCCAAATCATGTTCCAGGTTTCTTTTTTCACATGTAAAATGTAAGGTCCTTATTATCCACATGGATATTAAAACATAGGGATATAATTAATTTAGAAAAATAAGAATACTTGTTTCTTTTTATAAAAAAGAACAGCTTCCATAAAAATTATTAGCAGTTGGCAGTGTAAGAATTAATGAAATGCTGTTTATGTAAAAATGTTTTTGCGTATTACAAGAAACTTATATTCCCAATAATTCTGCCAGGTTCTGGACGGGGTGTATTACCCTTTGCCTTTAGCCCTGTAGTCTCTACTGGTAGTATTAATTGTGAACCAGGTATTACTATTTTTAATAAATGTATTTTATTTTCTTTATTTTTTTAAAAAATGTTGATATACATAGGTATATTACATTAGGTTGTGATTCAGAGAAGTGTTGATTGACTCTATAATTATAAAAAAAATATTATTCCATGGGAAAACTAGCACTACCTAAAGATGCACTTCATGAATCTGATTTTGTAAACAATTCTGTGGATATAATTCTTGAAATATAAGCATTGAACATGGTGAGAAAAGGAGCAAAAATTTATTTCTAGTAAAGTTAATGATGTGGACAACACCCATTTTGTGACTTTTATTGGGATTTTAAATTTCTGCTGTTGTTTTCCCTCTATTGATTGCATTGTTTTCCAATGTTCAAAATAGTTTACAATCAATTCATAAAACAATATAAAAATTAAAAGCAAATCTTAACTAATACTGATAGAATAGATACATTACAATACATCAGGGAAATCTACCTAAAGTGAATAGCAATATTAGTAACAGCAGAATAGTCTAAAAGCTGTATCAAATAAACCAATCTAATCTTTCTAGAAATGGAGCTTGAAAATCAGAATGCACTTCTTAATTTTCTACAGTACGATGGGGTTATTTTATTCTGAGTGATGAATTATAACAATGAAGACTATTAATTATATTTGTAATAATATCACAGTTGAATTGAAATTGAACTGAAAAAATAGGAAAATAGGCAAGTTTGAATGTTATGCTATGTTGTCTGCGTAATGAAACTGGAAAGCATTTTGCCTATAGCAGTTATGCCTGCTATAATTTCTGGATGCAGCGTAGTTCAGATTTCAGGGTATTTTCTGCGGATACTTTCCCATTCTAAAATTAAATGGCAATGTCAGCTATGCTTTTACTTAAGAGTAGTTTCTTGGATAGCCAGGTGTGCTGTGTCACACAAAAAGGACTGCTCCTTTGATGAGCTCCTCTTGGAAATCCTCCAGTCAATCCAGAGATCTGACAGAAACTCTAAATTAGCTGCCCAAGGGGATCAGAAAAATGAGATCATGATAGTACTGCCAATACTAAGCATTCCGTACTCTTAACTTTTATACACATTTTGATTTGTCTGTAACCTTCTTCACACTTATTGAACATGCTTGTTCAACCTATTTTAAATCCAATTGCTGTACAGCCTTCATGTCTAGGTGTTCCATTAGGAAGAGAATAAGAAAGAAGTATATATGAATGTGCATAAACAGCTATGAGATGTTCTGCTATTACAAACAAAACAAAGCTCCACGAACTGATTATGGGTGGAGGATTAGACACCTTGGTGCATGTTCAGATGATGACACACACCTAAATAACTCTTAAACTAATGATGTAGTAAAAAATGTCTTGATTATTGTCTTCATATTGTATGCTTTGTCAGGTAAAAGAGATGAAAGAATTTGCCAGAAAATAATGGTCAGAACTACTGTAAGAAAAGAAGACTGCGTAAGCCAAAGTCCTGTAAGTATAAATGCCTTATTTGGGGGCTACTTCATATATAGGAAGTTTCTTTTCCTTCCATTCAACCGTTTGATTATTGGAGACTGCCTGGACAAGTTCCTGCAGTTTGTTGACAAGGTTTTTCAGAAGTGGTTTGCCTTTGTCTCTAGTCACTTTCTCTCAGCCTTAGAGTATATCAGCTGCCAAAACAGTCTTGTGATTACTGTAGTAAATATACATGCAAATCCTATTACTGTTTTGACATCTGGAAAACCTCTCTCCTTCGTAACATCCTCCTACTCATAAAAAGAATTCACAATTTAATTGCTTTTACCTTAACATTATTTAAATGCTGACTTCATCAGTTCAGAGACATCTCAAACCAGATGACTAGTACAGAATTGCCTCTCCTAATTAGGCAATGGCCAGTTCTGTAACATGGATACCAAAGCCTACTGATAACCCAAGCAAGAATTGCATTTAATTAATATTGAGGGGACTTGTCCTGCCAATAATAAAGTTGTGTTTGCACCAGTGTAATTTCTAAGCGATCTCCAAAGGCAGGACTATGTGTTTTCCCAGTAGTTCAGCCTATTGGGGATCAGGGCATGACCTGCCATCACTACGGCCTCCTGGTCCATGTATGGTTGTAACTGGCACTCCATATAGAACCTCTGTATGGAAGCTCCTTAATATCTATTGAACACATGGTTATTCAACTTTTTTTAAATTGCTGTATAGATTTTGGAGAAAGGCCTCCTGGCTGCCTTTTTCTATCTGCTATGTCATCAGCAGCTTTCATCTGCTATTGAAGCAAGAGCTGAGAATAAAAGCAAGCCCACAAGTCACAAAGCTTTTCTTTCAGGGCAATGTGATCCCACAAGAGAAATGCTATAGGATTTAATCTGAGTTTATTTTGCCCTATTCACAACTTCTCTTCAGGATCCTCACAGTATCTCTTGGATGGTGATGCGGAAACCATGAATCATCAACATTACACTAGATCAGTGGGTGATATTTTCCATAGCTTTATTCTAAATGTTAAATAGCAAAGGAAGAAATCTGGCCCTTGGAAATCTCTGTTTAGGGGTTCCATGGGCTCAAATTCTTCTGCTCCCAGCACTATAACCTAGAATTACCTCCTCAAGTAGAAGCATAATCACCATTAATAGTATCCTCTCTACTTCAAACCCTTGTGGATCCCTGAATGGTTTAATGGTAGATGTTACTGGAACAGTGGTGGGTTCCGGATCCCGTTGCAACGGGGCCAGGCACCCACCATGTGCTTGCACACAGCACGTGCACAGTGTGCACATGTGTACCCACTGCCCGCAACGCTCCAGCTGCTCGGCAGAGTGTCATACAGGCTCTGTGCATGTGCACAAATGCCCTGATTGGCTCAAATAGCAGTAAGGAGAGCGGGCAGGCAGGTGGGCCTTCTGGAGCACAGGTAGCGCAGTGGTTAAATGCAGCACTGCAGGCTACTGCTAGATCAGCAGGTCAGCGGTTCAAATCTCACCGGCTCAGGGTTGACTCAGCCTTCCATCCTTCCGAGGTGGGTAAAATGAGGACCCAGATTGTTGGGGGCAATATG